AATACGATAATAAATCAATCATTCCGGATAATAAGAAAGATTACTATAATTAGTTCATAATAAATTCCACGTCATAAATGGTTAACCGACAACAAATATGACTTCCACGATAACGTTCTGTCACTTCATCAAACAGTCCAACCTAAAAAAGGGAGAAAAAATTCAAATAGAAAATAAGAAATCATATGATAGAATCAATTTCAATCATTTGTCACTTAGTAGCACTCATAATTCAATAATGTATCTGGGCTCTTGCATAAGTAGCTACTTACCTCGTCCAGTCCATGTGTTTAATGTGATGCATTGCCTGAGAATTATTAGTTAGGACGGAAATTGTAATTCATTTGTTCTACCTCATATAATAATTGAAGAAGCTTAAAAAACAATTAATACGAAATATTGCATGAAATGGATCAGAACTTTGATTTCAAAAAACTCACCTAGATCCTAGTGCACAATATAGCTGAACTTGCTCCTCCCGACTCCCTTCATCAATTGACCACCAACCTAGTCACCTGATATAAAGAATTTATCCACAATTAGTAGAAGTAGAGAAAGAATTTTGACAAATTTTATGGTTCATTTTTACATAACGTACATTCGGTATACCTGGATCCACGACAAATAAATCTCATATAATCATGAGCAACACCCGGTAAGCTAATACTACTTTCTATGTCAGCTCCATCTGAAGTAAGAGTGTTGATTTGTTCAAATTTATGCATGTCAAAAAAACCCGGTCCTTGCATTAATAAAAGAGAGGACAAAAATTAAGTATATTTAGCAAAAATCGTAACAATGAGATCAATACATTACCAAATACTAACTCAATATCGTCCAACCAATAAATTTACTTAACATACCCTCATATGATGTTATGTCTAATTTTGATCAAAATACAGTAAACTTGTTGTTCAATGTGCATAAGACAAATTTCAAATAAATAAGGGCATAAATAGATGCTAAACATTAAACTTGTCCATAAAATGTACAGATTAGCTTAGCATAATTAAATGTTCTTTAATAAATACATATCACCCGAAATTGAGTCTTCATTTGTTCTCTGGTATCTCATCACCAAATATGCAATCAAAGTACATAATATTCAGTATACCTGGATCCACGACAAATAAATCTCGTATAAACGTGAGCAACACCTGATAATCTAATATTATTTTAGAAAATCTGGCAGCTTTGGTACTTCAACTTTGAAAATTCATACATATTAAACCATGCATACAAACCTTATGAAATTTTAACACAACGTTCACATATATGTGATTTATACCATATTAAAACAGTTCAGTAAAATACGTATCCATGGAAGAGGAATAATTAATTTAGTACAGCAAGTCAGCAACATCAGCAGAATTTCAGAACAGAGCATTCAACTTTAAAAATACCAAATAAATCATTCTTTCAACGAAACACCATGAAATTTCACTAAGAATCAGATTTATAAGTCTGTAATCATATCCAGTTGGAATTGCATGAATAGGAACAAGATAAAATCTAATTTAACACATAATTCATAGATGACTCAGAAATCGTGCAGTTTCAGAAAACGGTTCATAACTTGATCAATATAATTCCAAATTACGCATACCATAGGTCAAAACGAAGCTAACGGAAACATCTACATGCACAATTAATTTCATAATTTTCAGAAAATAAATCAGCGATGAATCATGCACTGGAATCTGAGGCTACGAATCTGGAAATCGAACTAGGGTTTATTGAAATCTATATTTCTTGACCTAGATCCCTAAATCCGATTCCTAAACATATGAATCAATTAAAAACATAAACATATCTTATTATTTATCATCAATTCAGTAAACACCAAAGTCCTTACCTCTTTGAAGAGAATCGAATACAAAGAAGAAGAGGGAACCTAAGGATTAGATATGAAACTTCCCGGAGAAGAAGGGGAAATTCATGAATTCGAAAATTCTCTTTTCCTGTAATCAAATCTTCCAAATCTCCTTAATGAATTCGAAAATTCTCGAACAGGGGTAAGAACTAGGGCTTGGAGAAATTGGGTGAAATAGGCGAATACTTTTGGGGAAAACAAAAGAGGTAAGATAAGAGGGATTTTGGTGCAAACGTAATGAAGAAATTAAGAGAGATTTTTTTCTTGATTTCCTGTAATATTATGCGAGAATTGGGAGAGAGATAGAGAGAGCGTAAGGAGAGTGAACAGAGTTATATTTTGTGATGAAGAAACGTGATAAATGGCTGTACTTTTTTTATTATTTGCATTTTCGCCCCCCATCTTTATTTTATTTTCTTTTCTTTTCTTGATTTGTTTAAAAAACTAAACTAGTGACCAAATCGATTTGATTTCCGTAAGTAGTTTCATAGTAACCAAATTCAAGTGGTTGCTAGCAACTCAATTAAATGGTTGCTAATAATTAAATTAAAGACTCGTAGCAACCGTAAAAAAATTGATGTTAACGTGGTCACTATTGACACTAAGTTATAGTGACCATAAAAATTGTCGCTACAAACTTAACATTGGTGCTACAAG